CTCCCTCTTTTCATTTTTCCCTTTCTCCTTCGCATTGTCTTCCTCCTTATCATCACTCTTTCCCCTCCATCCTACTCCTTCTATTCCTCCTCCTCCTCTTACTCCTACTCATTGTCCTTATTCTTCTGTACCACCAGAAACCGCAATTTCAAAGATCAAATCAATAGTAGTCCTTATTCATTCCCCTCCGGCGTAACGTGTTGAAGGGACTCACTAAAGATTCCACAAGTGGGATCATTTGCTTCCCAAGTTCAACTACTTCGGTGACTATTCAAAAGTCATGGTGTTATGGCGACATTAAGTCACCATTGATATGTGGTGGCACTATGTAATGACAGACAATAAGTAGTCAAAATGAACTTCATATTATTGCATAAGTACAGATTGAGTAGAGAGTGTTGGTTCATGGTGCAAGCGTCCAATCCATGCACAATGTTGCACCCATAGTCCTCCAGTTTCTTTAGGTTGGTCACCGTAGTAGGATGCTTTTCCCCTAATGTCTCTTTGGTTTGCATGCAAAAAAGTATTCGAGATACGATGTTTTGATCAGAAGAGATCTATCGTTATCTAGATAGTTTGGTTTTTTGCCGAGATAAGGGCCGGATTACATTTCCCGACGGCAGTATAGACGCCGTTTGCAACAAACACCGTAAATGTTCATCGCTGACATTTGTATGGACTTTGCAAGCGTTTATAAACGTCGACTATTCAAAAAAATTCTTGCAGTGAGTATTATCATACTGTCATGGAATGGAATGCTCCAAAGAGAAGAAACTATGACATACCTTTAGAGTCGAGAGGTGACAACCATATTTGAGGCAGATCCAAATGGTTCTGCTAAGCATGTTGAAAAGGAGAAATCTCCCTCACTGACAAGAAAATCTTGTGAGAACTGCTGTAGTGTTTTATCCATTTCTTTGCTTTATCATCCATAGAAACTTTGGACTCCATTCTATATTGGTCTACATTGGCAAGTAAAAAACTAGATACTATTGGGTACTCTTGCTATAATGCTGATTCTGGGATTTATAATTTGATTTTGGTACTTGTATTTATAAGAATTGCACTGGGAATGTAAACCATAGTGGTGACTCATGCCTTTTCAAATTCACTGCTCTTATTTCAATGCTATTGTAATCTAATTTATTAGCCTAATTAATTATGACCTTTTGATTGACTGTGGTTCCCATCAAATATTGAAGTTTAATGTCAATTCTAGAGTTATAGTGCAACCACATCATTAGATTAATAAATTAAATTAAATTTTTAGATCTAAATAACATTACTACTCTCAATAATTACGCTTTCTGGTTCTTAGGAATTTTCAGATAAATTGCCCATGTCAATTTGTTGGTTGAGAGAAGCCTCTTAGACTTCCAGCCTGAGAGACCAATGAGGTCATGACTCATCATTATTTTTTATACGAAATGTGTCTTCTCTAATGTATATTATTATTTTTGACCGATGATTATTTGAATAAGAGGTTGTCACATCATATTTGATTAATTTAAGTCTATATACCAATATTCAATCTTCTTATGATCCAATTAGCATCATAATGACGAGTAAAAATCTGTTATTTTGTGTATACTTTTAATATGGGCTAGTTTAATTATTTAGGTTTTGAAGTGGGTACTAAATGTAGTCATTAAGTTAACCACTAAAAACCACGGTTTGAAAGACCGAGTCATTTAGTACCAAAAAAAAAAAGACCGAGTCATCTTGAACCGTTATTCAGTTACTCCATTCTAGTTCAGCGTAATGAGTTGAAGGGAAGTCACTAATCAAATTCCAGAAGCTGGCATTGCATTTGATATGAAATCATATGCTTACGTCGTTAACTAGATACTTAAACTAGGAGTGAACAACGGCTTTGACTCACATTGGAAGGCACATTTTCTTCCAAAAGAAAATCAAAATTAGGGTTAACAACATTACAACTTTTTTAATTTTTCTGAAAAAATATTTTTTGTTATAATGCAACTAGGACATGTATATATATTTAGTTGTTATTTGGATTTTTTAGTTTCTAATATTGTTTAAAACATGTAATTTAAATTTAATTTAGGGACTTAATTAACTATGGACACTTGTTGAATTTAAAATGAATTTCATTGATCTAACCTTAAAATTAACAATTTATCTAGTAATTATAATGAATTAAGTCTTATGGCATTGCTCATGCCAATGTGAAATCAACTCTCAAAGTCAACCTTAATTATTTCTTAATTTATTCGAAAGTGAAGCTAAGTTTTAATTATTTATTTTTGGTTGTGATTGTCTAACCATCCACTTTGGTTAGACAATCGGGCTCAAGTATTTAAATGCACCATTTCTACTCACTCTATTTTTTATAGTCATCTTGTACATTGTAAACAAAGTAATTAAAAAATGACCTCAAATTTAATTTATACAAATATAAAATTATTGTGCATACCTTTTACATGATAGACAATTGATTTTAATAATAAGACTGCAAAGTTATAATATATATAATATAAATATCGAGTATGATAAAAAAACAAGTTGAACTTTAGGCCGTAAATTTTTTTGAAAGAGGTTTTAAAAATTTTACAATAATGCTATTTGCACTTAATTTGAGGATCAAGTACATTAGATAAAATAGTAAATTTTGTTTAAAGCTAGCACTCACTATTAATTCAATGATTAAAATACATTGAGTAATTAAATTATATTCTAAAATTTTAATTATATATCATTGTTTATTTTATTTTTGGGGCCTAAATTTTTTTTCTAATTTGGGGGCCTAGGCAATGGCCTAAGTGGCCGAAAGGTTGGGTCAGCACTGAGTGTGTGTGTGAGAGAGAGAGAGAGAGAGATGGATAGAAGTGAATGTTGCCTAGGAGTGAGAAGATATTTGGGGATTGTCCTGATCCAACACATCGGGTGGTCCATCGGATCACAGGCTGGCCCAGTCCACTTCATAAATAGGCCGTGGGCCTTTGATGCAGCCTTGTAGGCTCTGGGTTTCCCAGTTAAATTAGAATGCAGCCTAGCATTCTAATTTGACTATTTAGCCATTTAGCCATGGTGTAATGTATACCATGTTATGGAGCAGATATATGTGTGGATAGTAAACTATCAGCATCCATTACAACCCATCAGCCCTACATACATAAGGAGCCTGGGCAATGTTTCAATCCAAGTATGAGTGACCCCCATTCACTACCCATGAATACAAGACCCCCTCGGCCCAGGACTTGATCCGAAACGAGCAATTCCTATTCCTAAATGTCTACAATCGAGATTAGAATTAGCAAGCACGAATGAATGGTTCTCTCTCCTTATTTTGAGGAAGTGGTGAAAACTTTCAGAAGAAGAATGGAGGGTTGGTATTCTAAACTGCTTTCTGGAATGGGGAGAGTGGTTTTAGTTCAGTCAGTTCTGAGTTCTATTCCAATTCATATGCTTGCTTGTGTAAATATTCCCAAGGGGATACTTAAGCAATTGAACTCCATCATTGTTGGGTTTATTTGGTCTGCTAAACTGGATGTTAGAAGGAGACTTTGGATTTCCTTGGAAAACATTTCTAAGCCTAAGATTGAAGGAGGGTTAGGGATCAGGAGTTTTGGTGAAGTACAGTCTGCCTTCATAATAAAGCAGGTCTGGGGTATTCTAAATGGCCAATCATTGTGGGCCAAGGTGTTTAGAGAGAAGTTTTGTAGAGGAATGCATTTACTGAGGTGTGGGGTGTCTGGGAAGGTCAAGGTTTTAAAGTTCTGAGACCTTGGTTTGAATTTGTAGTTAATAATTCTTTGATGCTTGTGGGCAATGGTCAGAATTCTGACTTCTGGTGTGACTAATGGATGGAAGCTGGCCCTTTGCTTCATAGGATTGATGGTTTACCTGTGGTGTTCCCAAGATTAGTGAGCTATGGCATGCTAATGAGTGGCGCTTAGATGAGGTTGCTGAGTGGCTAACTCCTCAGTTGCAGCATGAGATCAGGAGTTCTGGTTTAGTGTTGACAGAGAGGCCTGATACTAGGATCTGGAGGCATACTAATTCTGGTTCATTTTCAGTGAAATCTGCATGGTTCCAGATTAGAAGGAGGGGAGTTCAAAGTGTTATTGCTCAGGGTATATGGAATCAGCAAATATTTCCTAGTGCTCAGTTGTGTACTTAGAAGATTTATAGGGATGCTTTGTCCACTGATGCTAGAGTGAAAAGTGTGGGTGTTTCCTTGGTAAGTAAATGTAGTTTGTGTGGGTTGGAGAAGGAGAATGTTAATCATCTGTTTGTTAAATGTTGTTTTGCTAATGATGTGTGGAAAAGGCTATCTTCTATCATGGGGTTTGTGCTGTGCTCTGGTGAAACCCCTATTTGTAGACTGTTAAGGCTGCTTAGATGTTTTAAGGCCCAATCCTTGAGTCATTGTTTGATCAGGGGAGTTGCTATGTTGATTTACTGGGCTATATGGAAGGAAAGATGTAGGAGGAGGTTTGAGGGGTTGTATTTGAATGCATATGCAATCTTTATGCAGGTGACTAGTGCTTTGAGATGGCAGGCTTGTATGATTAAGCCTAAGAGATTGGATGATTGTAGGGGAAAGGAAATGTTGTGGGATTTGAAAATTACGTCATCTTTTTCTGTTATGACTAGTGTTATGTGGATTAAATGGGATCCTCCTCCTGGGTCCATGTTAAAACTGAATGTTGATGGTGCATCCAAGGGGAGTAGTGGACTTGCAGGTGGTGGGATGGTCATAAGAAGTTCCCAGGGGCATATGGTGGTGGCAGCTGCTGCTTTTTATGGGGTTGGGTCTAATATGAAAGCTGAATGCCTGGCCTTGTTGGGTGGATTGAAGTTGATATTGACAAATGGTCTGGAGAGGAGTCAGAAGTGCCTTGGAGAATGAGGGAGGTTATGGAGCAAATATGGAGGGTTTTGGATAAACTGCATTTCCAGATAGGGCATATTTACAGAGAGGCCAATTTCATTGCTGACTTTTTGGCCTCTTTTGCTGTGCAGACTGGCAGATGTCATGAGTTTTTTGAGAATGATGTGCTGCTGCCTTTTGATGGGAGATTACTTTTACAGAAGGACCAGGGCATGTTACCTGCTGCTAGATTAAAGAGGAGGGTTGTGTTTGATAAAAGGAATGGAGCTGAATGAATTAGTGTCTTGATGGGCAGTCTGTGGTTGCTCAGATTTTTCATGACTGATGATTTGCCTGTATTGGCATGATTAAGTTGATAATTGTCTGCATTGTGGGAGGAGTCAGTTATTCTGATCTGACTGTTCATGATTGATGGCTTGGTATCTTGGTAATTGGTGTGTGCAGTCTGAATAATCTGCTCTGATTGCATTGCACTTTTCTGGACTGATCTGGAACATTCAGTTTCTTGGTGTCTTGTTGATGTTGTTCTGGTCTTTATTTCTGCTGATCTGCTAAACTGATGAGCTGCTGCTGTTTTGTTGGAGCTGAATGTTTGTTGCTGCTGGAACTGTGTGCTGAAATGTTGTTGTAGCAGGAGCTGAGGCAGGAGCTGAGGGATTGATGATGTAGCTGATGCTGTGAGCTGAGCTGAGAAAAGACAGTCCTTAGTTGCTTCATGCCAGGTGCTGCTTTTGCATTGATTGGTGGGCAGCTGTTGCTAAGCTGCTTATGCAGAGTTGCTGGACTGCTGCTGTCTTTATTTCTGCTGAGTTGCTGAGTTGCTGAGTTGATGTAGCTGTTTGTTGATGCTTGCTGCTGAAGAGCTGCTGGCTGAAGTTGCAATGGTTTGATGGCAGGATCAATATACAGTTACTGTACAGAATTTTGAGGATAGTCTTCTTGTTTGTTGTGTACAGTTTACTGCTTTTGTTGTTAAAGCAGTTACTGTTTTTCTTAATAATTTTTTTTTTTTTTGTAATTCTTTTTTCATAGAATAAAATTTTCTCTCTTTTTGCCAAAAAAAAAAAAAAATTGGTTCTCTCTCCAACTTGATTAAATAGATGATATATATTTCTCTAAAAAAAATAGATGAATAGAATAGATATCCCACAAATATCTATTCCAAACATCTATGGATAAGGTTAGGGTAGCACGGAGATATCGTATTGAAATTGATTTTCGTTTAAACAATTTACAACCATTATTTTAAAAATAACAAAAGTAACATTGAAAAAGAAAATGCTTACGAAACACTGGAAAAAAAAAAAAAAAGATTGAAAGAAATTGTCTGTATCATTATACCTAAGGCTGAACAAATTGTCCGTGCCCAGGGGCTAATAGCCCGGCGCCTCATCAACCCATGGCCCATGGATGGCTTTTAACTTAGCTGATAAGACCATAGGCTGTGATTTTCAAACCGATAAGTTTAATGGGTTGGTCCTTCGGCAACGATATAGTCAAGCCCATTAGCTCAATATTGATTTGATGACCAGTCGACTACCTAACTCACAGAGGTTCGTGGTTGGCCTAATAGCTATTATCTCCATTATTAGACCTCAAGGTCGAGAGATTGAACTTCATTGTCCTCTCTCTTGTAATAGTGCAAAGAGAATTGGCCATAAAGAGGAGCAGATAACTCCTTTGACAAATAATGTTCTATGCAATGCAACATTTGGATCGAATTTTATTTTGGATCTTGGAATATATTGTTGGATTATATTTTGTGTCGAATTATATGTTGTTGCGGTATTGCTTACTATTGGATTAAGGCAGGATTGTGACATGACGACGAGTTTGATAATTTTAAGATTTTATTTTTAGAGGAAATTTTACCAAATATTATAATGAAATAAAAGGGCTAAATTAATTTTATGTAATTCGATCGGTGCTCAAATGGAAGTTTATGTTATTTTTTTTATTTAATTATTTTTATATTATAAAGTATATTCAAGCACTAGCATTAAATATGCGAAGGGAAAACAATATACAATGTGCATGTGAGAACCATTGGTTTCTCACTAAGGAGTAGCTCAATTGCCAGATAATAAATCCAATTGCTTGCTACCTTATAATAATTCAATTTCAAATGTGTAGAGTCAAACAGCAAGTCAAAAACACGATGCTAACAGATAATAATGTATTATCATTCTATGCTTTAAAAAAGACCAATGGGGTCTCTCAGAGTGTAATTTTGTAAAGGCTTTTTTTCTTTTAATTTTATAATAATAATGCATTGAGTTCTACCTCATTGGATGTGAAAAGCTCTTCCTTTACAATAGAAATCTCTTTTTCTTTTTACGGTAAGAAAAGCTTAGGGTTCAGAGGGTTATATATATATACTCGAGGGTGAGCTTCCCATATTCATTCATTTTCTTTTACTTTTATTTTTTTAATTTTATGTTTGACACAATTTTTTTTTAAGTAAGCCCCGAATAATACTAAGCATTCAAAAGTCAAAAATCATATATATGAGTTAAATTTAAGCTCCATTGAAGAGGGTTGGATTTAAGAATTCCAAATTTATGACGTGCTCTATAATTCCTTCTACTCTACTTATATTTATTTTTATTAAAACACGACATATAATTAAAGTTGGTGGTAATTTTTGACACAACACGAAAAATACAATATGAAACTAATGAGTTAACATTGAATATTGTTGGACATGAACCCAAAAAAAACTGATCCACTAACTTCAACCCGACTTATTTCTGATTGCTTATATTTGTATTTGTGTCGAATATCGTTGGATTTATATTATACATAATTAAGTTTGTACCGATTAGTTTATTAAAGGGGGCTTGACCAATCAATTTGATTATGACTTGAGACTGCTAACACTAAAATTATATACAAGTAAGTGCTCAACTACTTATGGGAAACATCATGTAGTCTTTGATTACTGTCAACAGACCTCAGCATCATCCAGGAGGAAGCTTTTTTTTTTTTGTGATGCTTGGGCCATTTTGCTTGTCCAATCATGTATTGGGGACATGGCTATCTGAATCCTGAACAAGTATCTTAGGTACTACCAATAACTTCGTGTCGGTAGAAATTTTGTAGTATCAAAAATTAAATATTAATTATATAATATTTATATTTTAAATAATAATATTTTTTTCTTTGTTTACGTAATTTAAAATTAAAACGAAAAAGAGAAAATAAGAGAGCGATGGGGGAGAGAGAAAAGAGAAGTGGGTGTGGATTAATAGGGTTGTTTGACACTAGAGAGTGTGTTAGTTGCGTTGCGTTGTCTGACATTAGAGGTCATGTAGAGAAGATGATGATTTTGAGTGGAAAAAAAAAATTAGGATGAATCTTCTATTATTAGATCAAAACAGATGAAAATTGTATTAATCTTGGCTATTGTTATACTTTTATAAGTTGAAAATTTAACTTTTTAACCGTAATATTAAATAAATTTCTTAGGGAAAAAGAGAAAAAAATCATCTAAACAAATGAGATTTAGTTTGAATTTTAATCAATACAATTCCAAATGTGATTTGAAAACATCGATTGAAAATAGATGATAGGTTTTATTTTTATAATTCATATCCGTCCCCATTAAAAATCAATAATTTGACTTAAAAATTTAATCCAATCTGAATGACTCAATTAGAACGTAATTTTGAATAATCACTGCTGAATTTCTATTTTACTTCACCAAATAATCACTTAGTTTTACACACACAAAGGGAATATCGCAATTTGAATTCATATAAAATAATATGACGATTTCTGTTCGGGATAATCCTTCAAAAAATATATATTCATATTCGAATAATCAAATTTGGAGAAAAATCATATCAACTAACTGGCCTAAACGTCTATCTTAGCAATCAATAAGAAAAAGATCACTTAATGAGAAAGAGGCCACAACTTGCATACTCGAAAGTGAAAATGACCAGGGAGCCCTTTCCATAAGTGGTATAAATCCCGCATGTGAGTTGAGTCTTATGCTCCGTTTGGTATGATGAAAAGTTAGATGGATGGAAAGTTAGAGAGATAAATAAAACATCATGTTTGATAATGATGGAAAGTATGAATGACAGAAAAGTGGATGAATTAACTTTCCTTTCAACTCACCAAAATCAATCCCTCTAAAATCGGAAGGAAAGTAGATGGTAAGTTAATTATAAGGCCCGATATATATGTCTTAAACTCTGATCCATTTAAATACTTAAGCCTATATCTATAGTAAACTCATTAACGGCAAGGACTGAGGCCTTACCACTTCTAATGTGGAGGTGCCTGGTTCGAAACTCTCATGGGGCAGTATTATGCCGCTGGACCACTCTTCAAGTGTATATTTTGGCTGCAATCTTGCATTTGCCCTGTTGTTTTGATGGTCCTTTGGGTGTTTGTGCTTCTGTTAGTCTCTTAACTGTCATCTTTTAGCTTCTGTTAGTCTCTTAACTGTCATTTGGTTAACTAGTTTTTGTTGCTTGCTAAGACCATTTTGCATGTTTGTGTGCAGATAATTGAGTCAAACTATTCAAATTCAATTCAAGCTCTATTCTTTTTTAGATTGATTCAAATTTGACTTGTATAGAAAACGAAAATGAGCAGCATTTAAATAATTTTTTTGAGCTTTTTCGGCTTATCTATATAATAAAACAGGATAGAACTTGAAATTTATCCCCACTAAATCACACCCACTCCCATAGTGCGACTGCCTCCCTCCTCCTACTCTTCTCATACATAAACAGTGCACCCAAAACCCCAGCGATCACACACACTCGCACTGTCTGCACGCATTCACACATGCAACCACTCCTCAGTCACATACACACACTATGAGTTTGGGTGTATTTTTTCTACCATTTTAAATGTGCTGTGAATTGAAGTGTTAGTTGAAATTGGGCTATTAATGCATTGCCATTGTGTTTTAGGAATTAATTTACTGGGAGTTACATTGTTAGTTGAAATTTGGTTATAGTTGTATAATGAGTTGCTCTTGCATTGCCTATTTGAAGGAAATCAATTAGTTATTCGTCAAAGTTTCATTTCATTTATTAAATGACCAGAATTAGACGGGGATATATAGCTCGGAGACGTAGAACAAAAATTCGTTTATTTGCATCAAGCTTTCGAGGGGCTCATATAAACTTGACTGATTGCAATTTGGCTATTAATGTGTTGCCATTGTGTCAATTTAGGAATTAATTTATTGGGAGTTGGAGGCACATCAATTGTTCGATGAAAAGTCTCACAACAATGAATACGTATATGTTTGTGTGTATAATGTTTCCTTTGTGAAGAAAGACACAAGCTTAAAGGGAATTGATGGTTATGGGTTTGAAGCTAATAATGCAGAACGTAGTGTTGGTGGTGCGGTTATTTATTTAATGGATTGTCATATGACTACAAGTATATTTAATCTAACTCTTAGATTAATTTGGTTGTGTAGATTTTGTATTCATGTATATTTAAATGTGTGTGCACACCCCTTACGTATAAAGTGTCTAAGATTGATTCACGTGATATTCTTAGGTAAATTTATTGGGTAAATTTTCTATTCATGTGTATACAAATGTATATGAGTTGTTCTTCATTGATCTAATCTAAATACCCATTGATCTACTCTAAATTTTTTATTCCTGTTTTTACTATGTAAATTTTTAATTGTTTCTTTTATACTCTAATAT